GGTGGCGTTAGTAATAAATTAAAACACACTATGGTTTTACCTTTGTAATTAGTATGAGCATCGTTTCTTTAAATTAACCTAACGGACCCAAATTACAACCGCTTTGAATTTGTACACATAAAACCTTCCGAATATTTCGTCTTTGGGGAATAATTTTATGAATTTGTTCATCTTTTAATGAAATACCCTTGAAATTACGTCACGTAAAATAAACAAATAATCTGGTCTCCCATAGCTTCGGACATAAATCATCGCATCTTTGGTTTTTTTGTTGACCGATGTCTGATGATCCGATGTTTGATGAGCCAATGTCTTGATTTAAGGCGTCTCTAAGATGAATGTTTCACCTGCCCTCAGTCTCTGGTGATTACGACATCATATGTAATTCAATCTTTATGATATCTTTTTGCCATCATATCGACAATTTATTGAATGAAAACCGGCCAAGTGCGAGTTGGACTCGCACACGAAGGGTTCCTACGGTGGTAGGGCCACGCAGCAGTCTCGGCTGTTGCACGAATAGGCAGGCCCGTCCGGGTAAGTACCACGTCCTCACAGAAGACCAGCGTAAAGTGGAAGTATGACAAATACTTTCGCGTTTCGTCTGGTGAGTGAGGTAGCCGGAGCCCAATTTTCAAAAGGTTAGTCAACGCATCTGTAACCCTCGGGTGTGGCAGATGTCCATGGGCGGCGGTATTCACTTAACATCAGGTGAACCGCCAACTCGTTTGCCACTCTATCACATTAAAAAAAATCATGTTTTATTATCTTTATTCAATATATAGAAGTACTACACTTACACTTACATATTGTCAAAAACACCACTACTGTCAATAATATACTATATCTATAAAAACGGCAAAAATATCATGACTGTTTTGCATGCATGTCACAGTTTTGTTACGCACAGTACCTTGCTGAGGAATGGTCAAATATCTCTCCTATTACGACTGATAAGGAATATTTTTATGGATCATACAATCGGTGTAACTCAGAGACCCTTTTAAGTTGGCCTCGTCTACCGTCCAACACTATATTTCTGGGGCCTTTTTAGGATGCCGTACCCAAAGGGTAAAACGGGACCCTATTACTAAAACTCCGCTGTCTGTTTGTCCCTTTGTCAACAGACTGTATCTCATGAACCGTGATAGTTACACAGTTGAAATTTGATCTGGGTATTTGTTTCCCAAGGAGGGTTGACGGCAAGCAGGCGGCTGGTTGTAAAAATATAGCCAAAACCGCTTACAACATGATTCATGTTGTGCCGACCCCACCTAGGTGGGATAGGGGCAGGAGGATGATTATTACCTGTATACTTGTCCCTCTATTTTAAACGAAGTCATTTGAAAGAGGCTATTGTACTTTTGGATGTTGGTTAAAAATGTCCTGATGGTGAATGATTATTTGTAAAAAGATTTTTATTGGTTTTGCGGCTCCTCAATATTGGGGAGACTAACTTTTCTAGAAGCACAGCACATACCATTTGGTTCATCGACCCATTTTTGGCAGAAAAAATTAGAGCAGATCTTATTCGTGGCTACGATTTGGACGGAAGACTGTTGAGCAAAATGCATTAAAGCTGATCTGTTACTGTGAGCTAAAACTCGATTACGAACTCTAGTCGTTGACGTTTGTTATCTTTCTCTCTAATCTCGTGTACGTTGGGAACGCTCAGACCTCGATTCCCTAGTGTGAATTTGTATATTTATATTATTATACTCTTCAAGCCACTGCAAACACTACTTGACTCTCTCCGACTTGTAAGACGATTTTCAGTTTCCGGTAAAGATTCCTCATTATGACGTATTTTTAATGTCCTCGCCTGGGAACTATTTCTAGAAAGATGAGATCTTGATTCATTCATATCATTTTAAATGATAAAAAAATTTAACTTTCTTAGTTTGCTAACTGTTGATCAGGAATTACCAGTATAAATGTGATTGAAAACTTATAAGAACTACTAAGTCGATCACTAAGCTGTTTGGATAGTTAAATTACAATATACTAACAGTTTTAAACTTGCAATATCTAAGGAATGGAATGTCAGAATTTAATAATTCAAAAAGTTTTATAAAGGTATTGAAACAGTCTTAAATATGAAGTAATTTATTTTTATAAGGATTAATACCAAGATACAAATAAACAGCCTTTGTTAGCGGCGGCCTTCAATCAAAATTTTAAAATAAAAGAATACTTATTGTGGCATAACTATAATAGTTAGACATATGCCGTCGCGACACTTTTTGTAAATAATGATGTGGTCTGCAAAGTCGTAATACATTATTTTATTCTATCATCAATAGTTTTCGCAGCGCACGCGATGTAAAGAATATTCTAGGTAATTTTTGTACACCTTGAGTAACATTATTGGAGTTTTAATAAGGATCCCTAATTTTTTTTTAAATATAATATAGCCTATGTCAAGCACGGATAATGTAGCTTCTCAACAGTGAAAGAATTTTTCAAATCGGTTTAGTAGTTTCGGAGCCTATTCAATACATACAAACAATCAAATCTTTCCTCTTTATATAATAGATAGATTAATAATTGACGGTATTTCAAAATTGTATTTTGCCTAATACAATTTTGAAATACCGTCAAAAATACTACTAAATATAAAAATAAACCCCGAAATACTATAAATCGTAAAGTCAATATTATCATCACCATCCATTATTATCCCCAGTCCCAACAAGACAGACATCTTTATATAGCGTGGGGGCCAGGAAGTAACAGACGATTGACAGCCACATCAGAAAGTGGCACAAGTTGCTGGTTCCTTCATCTGCTGTTCGTTCTATGCCCACACGCTAAAGTTATAATCTCGTCAATATTAGCGGCGAGAGGTCGAGATTGCAACGCCTCTCCCAGGAACAGGTTGCTGCTCTAACCAGTGCGTGGATTATTTTTAAATTGACAACATCTGACATTATCGACACTACAGCAGGAAAACTACAGTGGGTTAAATCCCCTGGTCGGAAATGCGATAATCGCCAACCATGAACATTTACAATACTGCTCTTTAAGGAGATGGTCGTCTCATACTGTCACTCGCCTGTAACTAGAAACGTAAAAGTACGTGTATAAATATTTCGTCTTCACTCAGGACTTTTGATGTCCGGGGACCGGAGATATCAGTACAAGTCTAAAAGAAATTATTCAATGAAAACTTTTAACGATTATTTAATGTGCAAATAAAGTTTTGTGAAGTATAGTTTTATACTTTGATAATACATTTTTGCTACAATTTTTCAATTACAACTAATCACACAAATTACCTTTGATGAATTTCGTCTGAGTTATGAACAGCGGTAGAAAATTCGGCCAATTATTTAAACGTGGCGAAACGAAAGACAACTGCTTTTATTCGGCGCTACATTAACATGTGGGAGTGTCCCGGCTCATATATAATAACAGGCAGCTTGCTAAAAAACTATCCTACTTATGTACAAACTACAAAATGAGTATGATAAATGTAACGAAACATGCACACTTGAATTCCTTAAAACAAATGGGTTTTGATAATTTCTTGTATTTACGCGATTACACATTATAAATGAAACGAATTTTACGGATTTATCGCGTTTATTTTTAATTTTAATTCCCGACGTTTCGAACCCTTTACAGCGTTCATGTTCAGACAGACTGAGCACACCTTAAACCGGCCCAACCACTACATCAGGTTTAATAGACCACAGATCCTTGAAAAATAATACAATTCATGAAATACACAGCTTTTGTTAAATTGCTATAACAATAATAAAATTAATTCCTTCACAATGATAACTTTCTGACCCAAAAATATCGCTCGTATCGTTGATTCCCAGTATTCATTTGCCAACTCGTTTACAGATGACGTTAACAATTAAAACAATTAAATTTCCCTTCGGTCATAAAGTTATGATTTTGTGACTTAAAAAAAAAGAACTAGAGAATTCATTGGAAACAAATCAAAACGTCATACATTTGATATCAGTTTTGCTTAAGCATTGAGCGCAGCAGTCGAATTTTAAGTTATATTGAGTGCAGAGACTAGCACTAAAAATAAAATTAATCATAAACCGCTAGAGGATTTATGGCAACACCTGATTTCACCGCTGAGAGTGAGCGGTGCCCAAACGCCCATGGAGCATCGCCAAGAGCAGAGCTCCTTTAGCGGAGACCAAGTGCATATGCATGAGAGAAAGTGGTCTAGGCCGGTGCCCGCTGCCCACCGTACACGAAACTGCCGTTAACATACTGATTTGGAAATTGGCGCAAACTCATAACCACAGTAATATACTCACGCGGTGAAGTAAAACATCATGAATGATGTTTTACTTCACCGCGGAGCACGTGATAAGTCAGCACTTAAAGTTAAAAACTTCATTGGTGCCGGCACCGGAGATCGAACTCAGGTTGCTCGAGTATATTGAATTAAAGGCGAGCGCCCGGACACTGAACTACCTGGTGACCACTTAAAACTATTGCGCCATTAGAGCATCACTTCAACTTATAATATAAAATTTTATTTCTAATATAATAAACGTAAAAAAACAGGGCCACGCAACAGTCTTTGCTGTTTCACGAATGGGATGGTCCGTGGGGTACTTACCCTATTACACGTATTATGTGGGCGACATAATACCGGCGTGCAGTGGGAGTGTTATACTTCTGTGTTTCGTCTGGTGAGGGAGGTAGCCGGGACCCACTGTATTGAAAGATGGCAACGCATCTGGAACCCTACGGCTGTTGCAAATGTTTCGTTGGTATCTTCTCACATAAAAAAATTAAACAAAAAATTGTAGGAAACACAACTTACTTCGTTCACCACGCTAAGTGGTCTTACGATCATAAGGAATTTTCGGATTTATCACATGCAAATTGTGTCTGTTGTGTTGTACAAAATACTTATGACGTAGGGACTAATGAAACTTGGTGGCTAATGGTGGAAGTGTCTATTTTACTTTTCTTAACTTGAATGATGTGAGTACTAAGTTAAAAAAGAGCAGTGGGGTGGAATGCTCCAGCATGGAGCTGTCGCGAAAGGGCAGGCGCGAGAGCCGAATTGCGACGGAGGCTCGGGCGGCACCGCACGCGGCCGGAAACGGTCATTGACCCTTCGCCCGCAGCGCCCCACGCGACCACGCGCACTCTGCAAGTGGAAAATCAGCCTCCTCGCGAACCTCTCCGGCCCTAATAGACCTAGCCAAAGTTGTGTGACAACGTGCACAGAAGAAAAATTTTCCACTTTACGGGCTAAGCCTTCTCGAAGCTCGCATATGGCTGCGTACGTCATTGGAGCGGTGCGGGGCAATTATGACCGCGGCCGAGTTTACAATTCGCTATAAAAGCCAACGGACACCGGAGGCTTTCCGAGTCGGCGTGCGCACATGTGAAGTGCGCATACATACGTCGGTAAGGAACGTGTTCTCGTGTTGACCCTCGTCGAGTTCAAAACGAGTTGCAGCGGCCGCCTCTTAACCGTTAATCCAAGGCTAACTGGGCGCCGCCCCCGCCACCCCGCCGCCCCGCCGCCCCGCCAACACCCCCGGCACTTGTTGTATCTGCAGCGTGGCTTCATCACAACACACCGGAATCGTATGCGCCGCGCGCAATGCCGAAGGCTCCGCTGACAAGGTCGTCACACGCGCACACACCTCCCCCCACCTCCGTGCGTTTCATTAGTCGCCTCCAATTGGGGAATTCATAAACGTCGTAGACGCAATCGGAAGGCATGTCGACACAGCGAACAGACGACATACATACATCGAAGATAATATGACTACTTACAAAGCATAATATAACTTCATCAGATAGAGTAATTATTTAGTTGTTGTTGGCAATGTATATATTTCAAATATGTAGATATATAATTTGTGAAGCGAACGCAATGTTCGAGTCGAAGGCGCCATTTGGGGAAGCTTTGACTCGGAGCTGCCGGGCGGCCGGTATGCTAATTTGCGCGGCGTTAATATTCAAATGGGCCGAGTGATCGGCCGAGAGACGGAATCCTTCGTGGATCAGGAAATCGTTCGAGCAATCGACACATTTATAGAGCGGCCGATTGTCGCAAGAGTACAGCGTTTTGGGGCAACATCTGCGTGCGACAACTACACGAACAGCCCCTTTGGTGACTCTTAGTCATCAAACGACACTATTCGATTTTCTGCTTTTTGGGACGTACAAAGAAACGTCCTAATATCTTGGCTTTGGCTTCTATTTACCAATTACCATGTAAATGACCATGAAAGATAATCTTTTTTATGTGAGAAGATGGCAAGCTGACAGTTAAACTGATGTTAAATGATAACTGCCTCCCTCTTGACATTTGCAACAGCAAACCTACAGCCTACTTGCAGATGCGTTGCCACCTTTCAATAATGTGGGCCCCTTACCTCGCTCACCTTGTGCACGAATGGGACCTGCCCATTCGTGCAACAGCGAAGACTGTTAAGCTATTTATTTTTTTATTGTCACGAATTTTCTTTTATTACTTTTATGTTATTTTAGTTTTTTTAATTTATTATTTTGTTGTTATTATTTTTTTAATTTAAACAGTGGAACCAAATGAAACCTAATTATGAACAGATGAAGTGTCGGAATAAATGTCTTATGTTTTTTTTTGTTTTTGTCCGTACTTAGAGCTCTTGGATAAAACTGACAGTAAAAGAAATAAAAAGACATTATTTAAGGAACAGTCGGAATAACTAATACTAAGAAAATAACATGACAAAAATATATCTGGCGTCATAAAAGACTAGTGGATATCACTATGTTATTGTGTTCTTAATTTGTTACCATCGCCAACCGCAATTAAGTCTTACTTGTCAGGTTTACCATTGCCATAATTTTACTCTTGTGAAGCTTCTATAAGTTATTGTCCACATATTTCTTTGTTAAAATGAGATAACTTTATGTATAATACCCTCGTAGGTATGTGCAATAAACTCAATTTACAATAAAGAATGTTAAATTTGTGATCTTCAGATTATTTTAAAACGGCATGCGTACGGCAATCAAAACTTTTAAGCCTAATTACGTTTTTTGTTTGTAGAACGTCATCTTGCAACATATCTGCCATGATATTATGGGTTTGCTCAATTAAAAAAATGATAGAAAAAAGAGTGTTTATGGTTCTCCATAAATTTCGATTTACAACCCTTGTATCTAACAGTTGGACGTAGCCTTAGCGGAATGCGTCGTGACCGTGGTGTCTTACATTGGACCTAGTACATGATAATCGAGCGCTTCTGAGCAACACTGCGCCCTGGACAACTTGCAAATAAATGATTGTTTTTTTTTACTAGGTCAAATCAAAAGTAGCCTTAGACATGATATATATTTTATAACAGGGCTTAAAATTCATTAACTCTTAGTCTGAGACGATTAAAATGATGAAACCATGCCATTCAACCATCTAATTATGGTCAATTCTACATCAATCATTTTGTGACTAGAAAGCGTATGAACGCTACCTATAACATTTAGTTTTTTTTTTATTTCACCTCTGTCTACAACTGGTCTTTATTTAAATTATTATAAGACTCATTCTCACCCAGCGAATAGTAAAGCCAATCATTCTGACATTTGGAGAGGCGCCAAGTTGGCTCGCCTCAATCTCGTGTTCTGTGACGGGACAGCGCGCTTCGCGACCTGGAGAAGAATCCTGCGCGTACTGGTCGCCTTTGAGAATCAGTCGCCTGAGTCATTTTTAAAAATATTGACACTTTCAATTTTCGTAGATAAATGAGCAAAAGCTGCGTAAGACGCAGGTTACATCTCTCCAGCGCCGAAAGTTTTAGTTCTTTATCTACAAATATTCGATTTTTAAGTTTCATCTTTAGAGCAAAGATATTCATGGTATATTGTTACAGTGATCATCCTCAGACTGGATGAGAAATTAAGATTAGGAATTAGTAGTCCATATTTAGAGATTAGCTGTTCGTTACAGGTAAGGTTGCCAACTAAAATTAAACGGTCAACTGTCAACAAACTAAGGAAAATTTACAATCAGCCATATATTTTGCTGATCGTTTTGTTGGTTTTACTGACTTTGTACCGATGTACCGAACTAAGCACAGCTGTACTCATTCGATTCAAGCATGAAATAAATTCGTAATCTGCTTAGGACCAAACACAAACGGCGTCTGGTATTAGCCATGTTCGTCGTCAATTGTGTGTTCCTTTCCTTTTGCGCTTCCCTCGTAGAACAAGCAGCTCCCTACCAGCAAAGCCCACACTAGATCAGCGGTGACGGTCTGTTAACTTCGTGAGAGGTGCACGTAACTCACCCCTGCCCTTTCCGTTGGTGCGCACCTGACCCATACTTTAGTGGATGCTTCGGCCATTTGTCGCCGCTCGCCTATAGGGTGGGGTGGGCCGCGCGGCAACGGAGCGTCTCGAAATAGCTTCTCCGTCATATATTATCATTATGGTGTCGTCGACTCCATTATGGCCATGGGCTATGAAACCAGTTTGCGCGAGGAGCAGCCGCCGCTTGGAATGTGCTCGCCCAGACCCAACATCTGCCTCTAGTCTCCAATTCGCTGACACCTCCTTCATTGGCGCCAAAGCGTACTAGGTGCTTATACACAACTCCAACCATCCTCAAATATCAAATATAAAAAATAAGCCGTGGAATTAGGAGAAAATTTATGGCAATTTACTAATCCTTTTGATTTGTAATTTTACCATTTGCTAAGCATGCAAAAGGTAAAATTACGTAATTATTTATAATGGTAAATCGTGATAATATTTAATTTAAACTTTTTAGTGCTCGCCTATATGATGAAACTTTGAGCGGTGAAGATTTGACCCGCTTAGCTCAGTGGCTCGAGCGCCTAGACGCGCTATCCGGAAGGCGTGGGTTCGAATCCCGGAAGCGGCTGAAACTTTTGCATAGTTCTATTTAAACATTTTTAAGTTTCATCGTGAAAAAATAATAACGCATAGGTACATAAAAACATTTGCATAATGCTAATATTCGCATACATTTCGGATATTTCTTTGAATTTAATGAAAAGATCTAATATAAATAATAGATAAAAAGAGTAGATTTCCGACAGTGTAATTGAAATTAAAACGTATCGCAGGTCCCAATGGCTTAATCCTTATCTTTAATATTATCTTTATTATTAATATGTAAAGGTGAGTTCAGTAACCTTGATAACACGTGCTTTTAGAGAAACGTGCCTAGAACAGGAAATATAATGGTACGAATTGTTACTATTTCAAATTTTAAATTATTTCATCTGCCATGTATCTAATGGTTTTTAATGGAATTTTCAATACATCCTCTCCTAAACCTACAAAAGACCGAGCTATGACGCCTGCTCATACCCAATCTGGTAAGTCCTAAACTAGAACGTAAATAACAGAAACGCAAAAGATGTCATCCGAGGAGTTACGCAGAGCAGTCGATATAAACCAAATCGGATATAGGGCAGGTGGTGAGGCTGGGTTGCTGCACTGTGGCTCGGTCCACGCTCTGCACGCACCTGCGCCGGAGGACGGCATTATGCGGCACACCACCAAAGCGCAGCTTTATCGATTCATTTCAGCGACGATTTGTCACTTTGTAATTGCTAGTTTTAACCTTTTAATCGGATCTGAAATTTAACCTCTCACTAGTGTGATCGACAACAGTATCTCTCCTGTGTGTTATTCATGTAACCATCGTTCACTCTCTTAAGTTTAAGGTGGTCCGAAACTCTCTAAAAGATCAGACAAATATTATTCAGCATGCTTTGTGTGATAGCAACAGTTTAAGCCACTTTTGACATGTCATGAGAATAAGCGTATCTGCTTTAAAAAGTTGCGAAGCCCGGCTTTTAGCGCTAAAGTGATAATAGCAATCCTTTATGTGACTTAATTGATGTCTCGTGCCTTTTTTTTAAGCGCAACATAGTTATCTCTTACAATTTTTAAGAGTGAAGCAACCATCCTCTGTATAAAAATTATCATAATTATGTTATTGATTTCATGATATTTAAAAATTTCTTTGCTTACTTTCGTATTCTAGACTAGAGCTATTTTTTATTTTATTTATTTCTCAAGCTCAATAGTTAATAATAAGAGAGTAATTGTGAGGACGCGCAACGCGGTAGCCGTCTCTGGGGAGGCGATTAGCTACATAGAGCGGCCTCTGGCCCCGGGCCCACGAGAGACCGGTAGCTCTGTAGGGGCACCACGAGACTGGAAAGTGCAACAATCGAATCCTTTTCTCACTTTGAAATTTGTATTTTCTTTATACATTTTATTCTAAGACGGTATTAAACCAAGTCTAATTAAGAAAGTTATTAATAAGTATTATCGTAAAAACTTTTTTACTATTGAAAGTACTACTAAGGAACTTAGTAAAGAAGTAAAGGAACCTTATATATTCACAAATAGCATCCGGTGAAATAATCAGAACCGGAATATTCAGTAAATCATACGAACACAGACCGGACGCTCCCTAGCGATTATTGAAAGAAATGTGCCAACGGACCCATAAAAAAGTTTCTTTTATAAGGTTTCTCAAAATTAATGAAAACAGAAGCGACACCGTAAGCATAAAACCGTGAACGCGCACAGGCATAGATTAAGCAAAGTTGTTAAAACCAATAACAGTTGTGCGAGCGTCCGGCCGATGGTTACGGGTGGTGAGCCTAGTGCTGTGGAGCGGTCGCGTGTGCCTCCAATAGGAGCTTAGTGAAGCAAATCCGCCGGAGCAATTACTGTTCTTATTATTTCTCCATCCAACGGATAACTAGAATGAACAGGTGAATGAACAGATATTCAGCCCTCGCACAATCTTCAGGTTACATTTCCTATATGACAAAATTTTTCGTTTCGTTTTTGTGTCATTCTTGTTATCAGCTTGTGTTGTTCGAAATAAAACCAATTGTTCATAACATAATCGATTTATTTGGAATAAATGTCTGCATGAAAACTTCGATACAGTTAAACAATTTCCACCGCAGCCGCAACGCATTGTAACCGCAACGTCATACGGCCTTTCAAAATTTGCGACTTAACATATCGTTTCATTGGGTTCATTTGACAAGTGCATTTACTTGTTTATCTCTTTTTTCCGATGTTCTGAAATGAAATCAATTGTGGCCAGCTCCAGCTGTAAAATTCTAACTAGTTTTACATAACAATGTGTATAATAATATAATATTGTTACTACAAATGTGTTATACATTTTTGGCTCAAATTTGGAAACATTTTATGATAAAATATATATTTACAGGATACATAAATATTTTAGCACAATACAAACACACAGTTACTATCAAATAATCCTTTTCAAAATATTCTTAACATCACTTCTTTATCAGATAATGTTTTGTTGAAAGATAAGCTGTTATATATTCATGTATCTTACATAACTTTGCAGCTTCTGTACATAAAACGTTAACGAAAGAGTAATAGTTTGTTCAAGCCTTAAATTACGTTATACTAATTACAAAGTAAATAAACAAGGGAACGGAAGCAGACGCCCCGCACCCACCTGTTGGAGGAAGGCGCTGAGTGATTAATTGGTTACAATGCAAAAGTGTCCAAAGCGAAACGTGAGACGATCTGCCGGTGAGCGGTATGGCGCTGTTAGCTGCGATTATGAATTCAAAAGGACGCCCCGAGGTTATCGGATCGTATGTTAATCGATCTAAATGACTGTGAATTAATGAGTGCGCGGTGTGGGAACGCCACTCGCCGCATCGCCATGGCCTCGAGTTTCGGCAACACTACAGTAATCCGGCGCAAGTTACGCAGCGGGGAAATATTCATTTAGAAAAAAACTCGCTGCAACAAAGAACCCACGAGCAATTCAGAATTGGCAATTACCATGACCAGTTCTGTACGACAAAGGCAGTTGTAACGCATTCGACACTTACAATTAATTCCACAGATTATTCTAGGAACCAATGTAGACGGCATCCCAAGGTCAATGACGTACGGCCGTTTAGTTGCCGCGTTATTAAATGCAGCTGACTAGGCACGTATACATTGAAATAGCATTGCGCTTTAGAGCTTTTGAGTAGCCCCGGCGACGAGACGACTACGACACGTTATTCCAGCAGACCGCCTGTCTTCTACTTTACTCGATATGTTTTCATACGTTAAGTTCTAAATAAAAAACAAACTTAATATTGAGTTAGTGTTCAAACAAAGTACCAAAAATATACCTTTTTATCGGTGAGTTATTGTAGCTGCGATGTAAACATTTGATGCAGTCTATTCACTGTAATGATACTTGCGAACAATGAACTAATCCAAAAAGGAGAAGCTAGAATTCTCGTTCGAGCCCGTTGCCCTTCATTAGCAGCCGACACCGGTAGCGAAGCGCCGCTCCGCGCAATGTAAGCCTATCTAGAAGCATATCTTCATGAGCTGATAAGTCGGCGGCATTAGCGCGCTAATCGATGGACGGACAGAGTTTCTCAATATTCATTTCGATCTACACTCCACTCGCGGAAAGTTCCAGATAAGTAATCATTCCGTAGCTGGCAGTGTATGGTAAATAATTGGAAGTGTAATAGAACACAAAAGGACTTCGGTAGAAGCGATAGAAGCGATTTGCGTTTAATTAAAATGAAATCATTCTACAATTCTTCAATGAAATTTTTCTACATGTTTTAATGTCCAATCTTAAGTGCAGAGATTAGCACTATAAAAAACTTTAAAAATTGAAATCAAAAAGTTAAAAGGCATTGAGAGAATGTAATAGATCAACACAATATTTCGGGTGTCACTACGCGACTGTTTGCGCGTGTGTGCACCTGCATAATGAGCCCCTCAACAAACTATCAATCGTTCGTAAGGCTTCTCTGCTGTGTGCCTGTTTGAACAATTCAGCTCCACCGAGCGATATGCAACCAGCACTAGTGGCGAGGCGTGGCGCGCAGATCTCCCGCCGGCGCCGGATGCCGCCCCATATCGGCCGTCACACGCTCTCCGCACACTGAATGACATTGCTGCACTCGATCCAATTGCTCGTTCACAGGCATCAACAACCCACCACATATACGTACCAAAGTTATCGAAACACACAATTAGGTTTGCTCTATTTTTACCTCACTTGCCCTCTTGCTCTCTGTTCGATTCAAACATACAGTAAATAATTATAATTAAAAATATTGATTCGATTTAGTTCAGTTGCAACTTGTAAATTTTTTACACATTTTTATGAACCATTAGCCTATGATATAATAACTACGTACCTACGTAACATCTATTACTACTATTTATGTTACAAATTATAAATCTCGCAAAGTCACTTGTCAAACCTATTTACATTGACTAAATGTTCTAAATTTTGGCAACAAGAAATGATTAAGATACAAGCAAAGGGGAATTCCAAATATTGTTAATTTAGTGTCATCATTAGGAATAATTACTATTCTAAGGAACAAACGTAAGGAAAACTGCACGCCAGCCTGTCAATTAAATGTCATTAAAGATAGTATAACAAATTCAAAAAAAAGTCCTCGATAGCAGAACTACGCAAAATAAACGCTGGAAAAGGTAGGCTTTAATGTCAACAGTTTATGTTTACGACAGGAGCATGAGACAGCGGTTTTGGAGCGAGTTCGGTTCCAAAGAAATAGCTAGATCGCTCGCGGCCGTTAATTATTTGCATTTTAATGACCCACACGAAGTTGAGGCGCGGTGCGTACGGGCGCCAACACAAGTTACGCAGCGCCACTAGTTCGGAACGTTGCTAGTTAATTACAAAACCAAAGTACGTGGCTAAGTGTGCGTGACGACGACTCTACCCAATTCAATTTTAAAAAGCATCTCATACCACAATTTAGGTCAAGCGTCATAACACACTCGTGATCCAAGTTTTATGTGTTATAATTATCTAAGTACAATTAATCTATCACATCACAGTTTTTGAGTTGCATGACAGGCGTGGTGCATTCTAAACTCCCATAGCAGATGAGGAAAATATATAATGAATAGCCAATGCAATCTGTGCACCGTAAACAACTGCCTGCTAGACAAAATTCTGTAATGTGTATTGCGATGCAACTGTCAAATATTTCATACAATTTGACTACTGTTATTCTAAAATTCAAATGTTTTCTTTCGAATTATTTCAAATCCGAAATTTAACACATTTTGTTACAACAATTATAATAATGTAACGTCGCGGAGAAATAAACATAACTTAGATCTCGTTAAACAAACCGTTACGCGTATTCTCTAGAGCTGGGAGTTGAACACTTTTTCATTGGAAAAAAACAAAGCGTGTATTCTTTACATTAAAATGCACTCTGACCTTCCTGGACCCGCGACACGTTCGCGCCCAAATTTAAACGCCGTGTAACCACATCTTATCAAATGTGGTTCAACTAAAACCACACCAAGTACCACAGCGCTATCAGATTTTACATAAATCATCAGCTATCTTTTAACTCTTCTATATCATATGTTGAATTTTATCTAACAATACATATTGTCATGTGATTACAATTAATGTTTACGTAATACTCAAGCAAAAAGGCAATCACTACTTATAATTATTATTACAAACCAGATACAACACGATTACATTTTTACTATATTTCAATATTTTAAATATACAACACTTAAAATATGATGACTCCGGTGCAGTTTTCAAAGTATTGGCTTCGGAACCGAGGTGTTTGTCCGAGTGCCATTTATGTATGTTAAACGTCCTTAAAACACAGTATAATGTTATCCTACAGTAAGGACAATGATAAAAAAATGAAAAGAAATGAAAATGTAAAGATCTGTCAATAAAAAGCCATTTATTAAGCTCTTACTATGAGAACTTGCAAGGACTCCTATAAGACCTACTGGTTTCTATTCGATTATGACAAGTTAATAATTGATTGTAAAGAAAATAAAAATTGTTAACACACACTTGGCACTCTTTATAATAATTCACTAAGCAAACATTTGAAAAAAGTTACAACATTCTAACCCAATTATGAACCCAGCTGTGAGGTGCGTATAAAAAATAATACGTTTATTTTACACAGTTTTAGTGATTTTTAGAATAAGTGAGAGAAATATTAAACAAAAATTTGAACATTTCTCACGGTCAAATAAATCCTGTGAAAACAAACAGACAATCAGACAATGGTGCACTTGAGAAACCGACACAAGAGTCGCAATTCGCGAGAACAATTTAATTAGATTGTCGCGCGGCCCGATGGCGAATCGCCTACCGCGCCACCAGCCTGCTCCTTGTAGAAAATGGCCAGATCACTACCAATCACACATCTATCTATAAACCTACAGTGCGAAAAGTTACTTTATAGCCACAAACGACAGCTCCCTCCGGCATGTTTCTTTAAGATTAGATATGCTAATAATTATATCAATTATTGATAGTCGATAGAATTAGGCTAACATTGGACCGATGTTTAAAATTATTTTATATTTCGAAATATCATTCCTCACTGACAAAAACATTTGGTTTCACATATAAACTTCTGTTTACAAGATAAATATTGAACATAACCGATCCAGTGCGACGAGAAACAAAAACAAATGATTCGTTGAATAAGCAACTTGTTTTGGCACCAGGCTCAATGTCTACATACTACATTGTAGAAATGTCATCGATTGGCGACGCATCACTACAGCGCACTTCCTGAATCTATTTGTGTTGTAATTAAATTAAACAGTGGATGACTCCGTGGTGCACTTTTCAAGGTATTGCCTTCGGCGGAGGGGTCGTGGGTTCGATTCCCACTCGGGACAACTAGTTGTGTGACCCACAGATAATTGTTTTGCATCTGGGTGTTTGTCTACGTGAAATTTGTGTATGTAAAACGTCCATACAACACAGGATAATGCTATCCTAAAGTAAGGGCAACGTTTAAAAAGAAATAAAAAAGAAAGTGGATTCTCAGAACTGTTTTAATTCTGACGGTATGGCTTATTTTTTAATTTTCTAATAACCTCTTTAGCCACTACTTAGGCTTGAATTGGGATTCGTCCACAGTTTACGGGAACATGTGGCGTTGATAAGAAGCGCACCAGCTGACATGTGGCTCCAGTATCCAGTATCGCTGTCGCAGACACACAATTCGTGGCTGTCGATTATCTTTTAATTACAAGCGGACACTATCCAAAATCCGTTATCGCGGGTAAGGCCGATTGGCGATAGCAGCGGTGGAGATAGCGCGGTACTCGTACGGATGGGCAGGCCTGACGACCGCATACAACTTATCGTTAAATACGCATCCTGTCAGAAAAACTTGCCCGCTTGTTGACCGTTTTACTCACTAAATAGGCTTTTCTACACAATATTAAATAAATTACTATTACCGATATCTTTCTTGGTCTATGCTATGCTTATACTTTTTATAACTTAGCTACTAAGTACTAACGGTGACGTATTTTAATATCGTTTTGTAAGGAATATCGCTCGTCATGATAACTTTTAATGACGGTGCTAAGAGAACACAGCTTTGATAGTTATTTAATTCATTTTTAAGGATCGCCATGCTTTGTCAAGGAAGTTAGTTATACGAAATGCTTAATAATGATATGTGAACGTACGTTGGTGAACCTGTTGAATAAATAAATTAATAGATAGATAATCATTTATCAATTCACCATATCCAGTATTAAATTTAAACACCGTTCTTCATCTTTGTTTCATTCGTATTAATTTTATTTCAATATATCGTGTTGTATAATTTTATTTTATGAAATGTTGATGACAGTCAATTTGTTGAAAATTAATTAAATTGTACTGTAACCTGTAACTGTAACAATATAAATATGCTGCCAAATTTGCGATATTGTTCACTGTGTATAACTTAATAAGGAAAATTAGAATCCATATTTGAATGTTTAAATAAATATTTTAGTCTGTTTTGAATAATGTTGTTTTGTTAAATCTGATCATTAATTATAGAAGAAGTCGATTCAATTAAGACAGGATTGTACTATCTAAACAATGGACGGTTAAAGTTAGTGGATTCCGTTAAAGGTAGTATGCTATATTATTGTCAGCTGCTGGTTGAGTGAGTCAGCTCGACCAGACATACGGTAACGGTCTTCCAAAAACCAGTGTAAAATAGAAGTATTATTAATGAAAATTTTGAGGCAGCTAGACGAGTGGGTGAAATAGCTACGAGAGAAAAAGTTGCGAGTGTCCGGGGATGGAGTTTTCTTAAAAACCCAACAGGTAACATAATATTCAAAGGAGCATGAGGTAGTCTTGGTAGGCGCATTTCGCACTGCCGCGGTCCCTTGCGCCCAGGGGCCAGAACAGAGGCCGGTGCCGAGGCAGCTGCGGCCGCGACCTTTACCGGCCCTTTGAGTCCACAGACACCCCCCCCCCCCCCCTACCTGCGACGCACTGAGCTACTCCTCGCAAAGGTCGAATGTTCACAGCGCACAGCGCTTACGGCGCAACTGGCTGCCAATACCGCAACACTTTAACAAACACTAGAACGTATTTTAACTTTAGAGGAATTCTTTGAACTCGCTTATCCATAAAGGGCTAGCTCTGTACCCCGTAGTATTGGCCGCAACGTAATTAACTAAGCTAATACCTAACTCCGAGAAAGTCCTACCATTTCTACGTTTCAAATTAATCTTCTATGCGAGCGTAGCACAATCGTGATCTTGTGAAGTAGTACCTATTGAGATTTTCACATAATAATTATCCTCTTCAGAGTGTTAGTGGCGTTTATGTAAATACATCGTTACATACTTACATTTAGCGTTTATTGGGCAGCGGTGGCTCCATGGCTCCGTTTTTATTGACAATTCACCTGAAACGAATGCGTGCTGCGTGCATTGAGCCGCGCTTGCCCACAGCGAGACGCTGGACCACGCGGCCGGCCCAGAGTTATTTATAACAAGGCTCGAATGCAACTTTTCTTGTTCGTTAATGAGGTGGACGTTCTTGGGCCCGTAGCGAGGGGCGCTCACGACTCGACCGTAGCCGCCATCAACTCCGCCGGCCGAAGTTCTATGTCACTTCACCGAACTCCGAAACTTGAACGAATTCATGGAAACGGTTGACCACGAGTGTTATTTTATCAATCTTTTAGTATAGAAATACAAAATGAATTAACGTACGTATTCACGGAAGCGGAAATGAGAAATGAAATAAAGTTGTTGTTAGTACAAAGATACAAATGTAACATGGGACCCCGGCCGTGTGTGAGCCTCGTTATCAGGCGGTCGGCCGTCGCTTCAGTTATCGGACGGTCGGTGAATCAACAGTTGTGCTGCCATCCCGCCCCCCCTCCCGCACCCCGCACTTCACACATCCCCCCCCCCCCCAGACGACGCCCGACGAGCGCTCGGACTACAGGACTCTGTGTCAATGTGCAGTAAGGCACGCGTTATACCAAATTCAGGGGGCGTCAAAATGGAAGGTCGTAATGAGGCGTTCGCTCTCTGTTAAAATAAGCTTTCACACAAATAAATCTCCATAGTTAGGGTACATAAATCACATAAATCTATATAATCGCTAATAAAAATAGAAACAAATTGTAACAATTGAAAAAGACAAAACATTAACGAAGAAACATTATTCTCGTCCAATTAGATATCCAAATACGGTGATTTCAGTGGTTGGTTAATCACGTGCAAATAATTACAGTTAACAAAAACATTCAAATAATTAATAAAACATTATGTATCCCGTTCTCAGACAAACTATACAATTACGTAAAATGAGCTAAGGGAACTACAGCTTTTCCGAACAATTTTGTAATCATTCAACCTAAGATTTAAAGTGTTAAGTGTATTCCAGTAGACAGTGTACATCTAAGTTGGTCGAACGCCGTACGCAACTTTCTGAACAATTCCAAATGATCGCACGGAACCACTTTACTTCAACACTCGGCAACATAATAAAAACTGGCATTCTTAAGCATGTTTTCTTATAGCTTGCAAGTCTCAGCCATCAAGTCGTCTAACGGAAAAATGTACGAAGAACTGCCACTTTATTGTGTGAACGACTTTATGCACTACTTAACGCGTTCAACGTACTGGGATGGAGAAGTAACACACGGCCATGGGGCGCGGGGGAGATGTACCACCTCTCCTTCTACCTCCGATTTCTTGGTGAAACTCGTAACTGGCAATTTATCACTACGGTAGAAGATAATTCGAGGCATTCAAATTTGCAGAAGGAATGGAAGAAAAGTTTTTCATTAAAGGAATCGAACCCACGTCTTCGGGATTCTCGCCAAGGCACTTTAACCACTAAGCAGAACGGCAGATCGCCACTCCGACGTAAATCTGAACGTATTTTATCTAAATTTTTTTTCGCATTTCAAGCAATACTTGCCGCATGTATTGTCCTTTGCAGCACACAAACAATTTAAAAAATTGAGACATTTAAAGGCGTTACGCATCGTTAGAAGAGACGAGTTTCAAACGTGCGAGCGGATAACGCGATCAGCGGTTACGCTTAGCCGAGGAGTTGTGCCGTCGCGGTCGAGGAAAGAGCAACACGCTGAAGCTAGCCCTAGTTACAGAGGAAAATCATTATCTACAATTACAATTAAAGAACCATCGTAGTGTAGTTGTAGCTACACATCGCTCCTTTCAGTGTTTGTGTCGTATTCATGTGAATGTGACATTGCGTGATAGCCGAAAACGCGCGTCACGAAGATATTACGAGATAGGCCGACCTGCGATCAATCGCCTACGGACGGACATCACAAGCATGCATTAGCCGAATTTAGGGCGTACGTAACTTTGTTAATAACAAAGTTACAGACGAAAAAATACATGGAACTAGTTTCAACTTGCGACAACGGTGGACGGATGAAGCGAGCGTTTGAAGCGTCGGGACTGATGATGTAGTTAATTGTACGTTGTTTGCGCGATTGTGACTTTGATTGTGCATGTATGGAATATTTAGGTAAACAAGCACGCGGTGGCGCACGCGTGACACGGAACGCGCTATTTTTAGTCCGGCCGAGCGAGTGGCGAGGCGCCGCGGACAGCGCCGCCACAGACTAAAAATAATGCTACCCGAGGAGACAGCGCCCGTTCGGCGATCGTTAGTTCTTCCACTACAATTGCGTCTTGAAGCCGCTCCCAGAGAGCGCCTGGACAATATGCGTGCATGTTAAGGCTTGCCATGTCAGAATTTGTTGTGTGCGCTTCCTTGAAAATGTAACAGGCAATGGAAAATAGCATGGCAGCAAAGTAAGTGCCGACGGACGAGCGGCCCGCTTCCGCTCCCGCGCACGCTTGTACCGCATCAAACAGAAGCGACTCCCTGCTTCTAATCTTAGCGATAACACGTTTGTGTTTTCCTCGTTTATATCGCGGCAGCTGGACTTTATTTCATGCACGATTGTGTAGTGATACCTATTGTAAACATTATAAATAGTTATTTTCTGTACTCTTATTCACTTTGCGTTCGACGCAACCATAGATCGACTACATTTTTGCGATAGCTAACAGTTCCGACAGTGACGTAGGTTATCCCGGAGAAACGCACGGGGTCTGTTAGAACGAGCTGCAAAAGTAAGCTAGCTAATAAAAGGTTACTATATAAAGCTGGCGCGGTCAACAGCTCGTAAATAGTAATTATAACGTTACGTATCACTTTTTTATTTAGCGAGCTTTCTTTACTTGAGTTTAGATAGGGCGCCGAACAGGAGCGGCGCGGTCTGGCGGGCGCAACGAGTCCAGCGAGTGGGCCGAGCGGGCAGAGTGGGCAGAGTGGGCAGAGTGAGCAGAGTGGGCCGAGCGCCCCCCGAGGCCGTTGACCCGCGATCGCCGCCAATTCGCACAAGCCCAAGGGGGCCTGCGTTCGACGCAGAGCCTGTAACGGCCGCAGCGCGACACACGGAAACACTGAAATGTCACCGACGATACGATATGGTTCCTCTCTCATGGGAGCGTGTAAAACGCGCGCGTCACCGCTAGCCGCCTGCAAAGTACAGTCAGCCGCGTGTGCAATACGTTCGGACGGTGGACTCTTGGGTGAAGGTTTTAAACGCGGCCTACGAGCGCTTTCAACTGAGTCGCATGCCTAAAGGAGATCTAAACCATCTAACCTTTCAAAGGTTTGTAAATTAAATGTGTTCCAATAAAACAATTACGTTAATATTCGATGATCTGTGCTGTTATGCAGTGCAGACAAAAAATGATATCGAATATTCTAAATAATACAGAAATATTCAATCGTATAATTATAATTCAAATAGAAACTGACAATATAATTTTTTAAATTATATTGTCAATTTCTAAGACACGTAACGGTTATTTAAGTAATTTATTACGAAAAATGTGTCACGCTTAAAATAAAGCGGGAGTTACGTGTTTCTGATCACTACAGTCTTGCTTGCAACCATTTCGTCACAAGGTGTGCATTTATTGAGATCGCAACGCACACAATGGCACCATCGGGATGGGCCCGAGCACCCCGCCATTTCTTCATCTTTCTCGCTCTGGTGCGACATTTGCATAATTATGATAAGCATACGCATCTGGGCGATGCAAAGTGATTGCTCCACCGGCCAGCATTCTCTTTCAAACTATCATTTTGGCCCCATTCCCAAAACCGTGCTCGTTTCTTTACGTAATTTACGGTTATTTTTTAATGCAAATTAACGGATAGAGCCTTTCAAATTATTATAATGATGAGGATTAGAAAATTTTATATAACGGACGAGGAAGGCGGAATTGTGACTTACTTTATTTAGCTTTTGTATCTAATTTGAAGAGCCGTAAATAAATGACCTTTTTCCGTTTTAGGAGCTCATCTCTGAGCGTGAAATAAGGCTGGCAGCCCATATACTCGACAAATAGGAAGTTGTCGAATATATGGGCCTGTGGCGTTTTTAAAATGCTTTTTATTCCGTTTTCCATTTTACATTTGCGTCAATTCAGTATGAATAAGGAAAAAAAATTCAATAAGATCCTAAAAGAAACGAGAAATTGCCTATATAGCCTTAACTAAATACTTTATTAAACACGCCTCACCGCACACCTGTGGTTATTTTTGCCGTCTGTCACGATCTAGGGAGAATATGGTGTGACGTCACTGGGTGGGACCCTCACGGGGCACCGGCTCATTTGTCCGCCGCGCCTAACGCTCCTCCAACATAATTGACACATAACAAACATCAAAACACCGCATGACGTGCGCTATCCACTATTTGCCTGTCGCCAATTTGTCCGTTCATTATTATTGCTGTTGTTTTAAATGTACAGTATGACGAGAATTTTCTCGAATCGTGAGTGCAATAGTATATGAAATAACAACTTAGTGAATAATGTAGCATTGATATTGAGTAAGTATATTTCTGTTAAGGCAGTCTGCTGGTCAGCGTGCTCTAAGCATGCCATCGGCCTGACATCACAATGTAGGCGCGCACCGCCTATGTATGCGCAATATATCGCTCTCCATATGGCGGATAAGTTAGTGACAGACCGGGAATTCTAACGGCAAGTCTTACGCATAGGGAAGCGTTTTAATATACAATATTTTTCCTACCAATGGTTCCACTGATACTTTAACGCTTTTGGCAATAACTGAGACGCGTATAGCTACGTTAATTTGAGAATAGCTTAGTGAGTTTAGAGGTATATAACTATTTATTTATTTAAACCAATCTCAATTGGAAAACAAAAAGTTATTATTACTTATAATTAGAGTAACAAAACACGTTACAAACATGCATATCATGATTATTTATATTATTACTAGTGGACCCAACAGACGTTGTCCTGTAAACACGACTGAAATCCGAAAACAACTTATAAATAATAAAAAAAAAACCAATGTGGACCAAATTGTGAACCTAAACCATTCTCGAATCGACCTGAAGACCCACATCAGACACGTCATCATCAAAATCGGTCCGGCCGTTCAGAAATACTTCAGTGACATACACATGTACAGACAACTTACTAAGAACATAATAATTTACGTACGTACATTTTCTCTTTTTGCTTTCTACTATATGGTCATATACTAATTTAACAGAAAAATAAATTAAATCATTTAAGGTAAAGGTAAAGAACAGCAATCATAAAGTAGCCGCCTCCAAAAGACATCAACGCGACGGACTCTACGGTTACAAATCACAGCCTTTTGCCGTAGCAAAATAAGTTTGAAGTACAGACTCTAGCAAATATACACCAACCGCTGTGTCCTCGTGCAGCTGGATATAAGTATTAGGGGGAGTTAAAAACTAAAACAACAAAAATGTACATAAATTGACGGTAAAATTGACAATTGTGGTTATTCTACAAAGAAATAAAACTGAGTAAGATGTAAAAAGAGTACAGATATTCCGACTTATTATTAAAATATCACACGTATTTATAATAAGTCGTCAAAAAACTTCCTATACTACCAAAACTTTTAGAAACATATATTTAGCATAAATGGAAAAAAAATTATGTGTGTTCTGATCTACATACGTACGTAAGAAAATACTTCTTTTGGCGTAAATGTATTAAATGCAGTTGATAACGGTTTATTTAAATAACTTGGAATTATTGGTAAAAAGTTATTATTGGTCGTCACGATTAAATTAATTACCAAGCGGCATGACGCTTTTTGACGGTCGATGTGCGCGCAGAACGTACAAATTTTACTCTTGTTTTTCGAAACGCACCAAAACAAGAATAACTTCAAAGATCTGTTACGTGTTTCAAAATTTTAAGCATATTGCTTAAACTGTAGAAAGCACTACTTCCACTATGGTAAGAGCCTCTACTGTTGCTCGAACGAGCTCTTCCGGGGAAGGAGCAGGGCCTCGCAGAACACCGGGGCGATGTGGAGGCATGATACGTTCGCGTCTGGCGAGTGAGGCAGCCGGAGCCCACTCATTTTAAAGTTTGTCGACGTATCTGCAAGCCCTCAGTTGTAACTGTTTTCTTGGGTGGCGGTAATCATTTAACATCAGGTGAACTCTTCAAATACGTTTAGAAACAAATAACAACAATAATAGTTTAACATTGGAGTTTTGGTTTCATTTCACCGCTATATTAATAACCAGACGCCAGCATAGGTGTCCAGTCGATTAAAATTTTCTTAATCATTTCAATTCTATCGTTCGTATTCGAAGAACTGGCAAAACGTACAAAAATCCGTTCCTACGTGAAGAAATTAAATCTTGACGTGTGTGACCCTTAAAAAAATGCCCCTTGCACTACAGCTTTCCAAAGTTGTTCATTAGTGTTGGGGAGTGACTCGAAAATTTTGCTTGTTTAAGGGATATCAATTTTAATTTCTCATAACTTAACTTTAATTTCTCCGAAAATAAGACGGTCTAGTATTTCAAAGGTAACGTACGCTTTTCGTTATTTTCGGTATAAATGAATGGCTATTGAATACAAGGGAAGTGGTACATGACATAGAATTTACATTACATGAAATTACAATTACGAAGATTTTCAAGAAAATTTTGAAGCTTGATTGAAGAAACTGTGAACTAAACATTTAACGGAGCAAGAGCTAGGTGACGGAGGGCCGAGTGTTCCCCATCTGGGCGTCACGTGGCTTCGTCGCTGAGAGTTGCATCACTGGGCCCTCGCACCGCACGGGATGCGATACGGTTTTTTTAAGTTGTCTGTATGTTAGTATACAAATGTAATATCAATCTCAATTATTTCATAATACGTTGACACAACCAAGTAGTGCTTTTGCGGCGAAACGTCATGTTCATACGATATCAACCAGTTTATAGGTACTCGGAACAGAATGGAACCTGCTGAGAGAGAATACGGAGGAGACAATAAGAAGGACACAACCAATTGGCATATTATGATTTACTTATAGGTCGCAGTTGGCGATTCGCAATCACTAGTTTAGGCATGCCGGTTTCTTCTCAACAGAAACTGCTTTCCAAACCGGTGGTAACTTACGAACGTGTTAATTTCTTGTAAAATTTTGACGTTTCATAAGAACGCGCAAGCGGCTATGTGAATAAAGATATTTTATTATTATTATTATTATATATATATCCATCATGGTTCCGTATGTATTTACGAGCAAGCGCGCGTGTGTGTGCGTGTGTGTCTCTTCGCGAGATTGACTTGTTTTCGCCGACGAGCACGGGTCACCGGGTCACCGATAGCACAGCACCTCCCCGCCCGCCCCACTCCACCCTCCGGCCCAGATAACACCGACCTCGGGCTGCCCGCGCGCCCCTCGTCACGCGTTCGCCGGCTGCGCTCGCCTACTATGCATTATAACATTGCATCCGACGAGATGTTACATTGTTGGTTTTGTGCGCAAGAGACACCGGTGACCTGGCACTGACCGCTGCCTCTGCGATCGATGGCCCTAGGACGGAAAGCGAAAGCAACGAAAGAACGAAGCCAAAGACGGGGAGCGACAGAGGGCGTCGGGAATGGCTCGGGGACGAATTGTGGGGGAATGGTGAGTCGGTGGCGAGCTGGTGCTGGTGCGGGGGAGGGTCGGTGTGGGAGGGTAGTCCCCCGAGGGCCGGTGAGGGCGCGCCCCCGGCTTATTAATACGGCGGCACTCCCGGGCCGCGTGACGTCACCGCCTGAAATACGCGCGCAGCGACGCGCCGCGGTCAACGACTCCCGAAATAGATGCACGCCTCGCACGCGCACCTATAGGAAATTAAGAACCGGTCGCGCCGACGACGACGACGGCCGCCGATAAAAATTCAATTCGAAAGCGGACTCCGGCGCGGCGGCGATCCACGCGGCGCCGCTTTCACCGCGGCCCGACGGCGCCGCGACGACGCCGCGACGGGGCCGCGACGAGGCCGCGACGACGACGGTGTGCGCCCAACACACGATGCGTAATTAAAGAACGAGAAAAACGAGGTTGCATGCAAATTGCCCCAAAGCGCCCAGTTTCGACGCTGTTGCGAAGGCCCGCGCCTTGACCCGCATCTCCGATATTCGGAAAACCGAAACTTTCCACACGCCAATGAATAATGCGTCGCATCGTACTGAATTAAACATGCGTCGCGTTGGGAGTATGGGGCCGTCGGGGCCGTCGGAGCCGCGACGCTGTTCCCGGGACTTAATGGGCCGAGAGCGCGCGCCCATCGCCGCCGCGAGGAATTCTAATTAGTCGACGGGTTACGTGAGCATTGCTCGCGTGCCCGTTCAACGGCCAAGTGCTCACTACTTACTTACTCTACCGGCAACGAGGCTACACCATCAAAACTGCTTTCACTACTAACTAAAACTACATAAAACTACCTCGCGGTGTGCCATTCGCTACATCATTATCGGTCCCAATAGATGGGTGCTGTGCAAATGGGTGGCCGCGCGACGGCACACACGTGTGCACGTGCGGGCCGTTACCCTCCTCGGCTGGACAAGTGGCGGCGCTCGGCTGTTGTCCAGGTGGTGCGGCGTGGTGCGGCGTGGTGCGCTGCGGTGCGGTGCGGCTTCGCGGCGCCGTGACGCAACGTGCCAGCGCCGGTGCGGCCACGCGACCGCCGCAGCCGGTAAATATAAACCGCCGACCGGTTCCACCGGCCAGCCCGAATTCCTCGCCAACCGCTGCTGCGACGCGTAGAACGTGGAGCGCGGACGACATCTTTACCTGACAGTATTAGAAAATAACGAGACGACTCTAATGCTGCCCGGTAAGATGCGAACCGCCACTCCTAATCGACGACGACGACGCCGTCGCACGCAGAGCGCGGGTGGGCGCGGGACAACGCGCGGCGGCCGCGTGCGGCGGCGGCGAGCGCGCGGCGCGTACTGGCGGCGGCGCGGCCGCGCGGCGCGGGCACGCCCCACGCCCCGCCCGCCCCCCGCCCCGCACGCGCCCTGCCCCCGCCGCTCGCTCCTCACCAGCTCCGCGACTGTCGGCGCCAGTCGCACTGGTTGGTAACGCGGCACCCACCAAAAACCGAGCCGTTATCAGCAGCGCCTCCGACGGCGAGCGGTGCCACCGAGCCCACACCGGCCCTTGCAATCGACGACCACACTCATCAACAGTACCGACTGTACCCGATTGGCGTGGGGAGTAGTGCACCTGCCTCTTGATCCAGAGAGTGTGGGTTCGATCCCATAGTTACAAACATTGCTCAGTTTGGCACTAGAGAACGTCGTGTAAAAATGTGTTCGAAAATATTTATTTAGTATTTATTTCATTTACTTGTCATAATAATTGCCTTTATTTCTACATACATAGATCACGACCTTATTATACCTTTGAGCAAGCAAAGACAGGCTGAATGATGATAATAACCCAATAATATGCAAATTTCCCATGACATTATTTATTCTTATAGCTAATAACACATGGCATATTACGTCGCATGAAACAAATTGATGTGATATGCGACACTGCTGTGTAGTATCTCACATCTCACTAGTATTCGCCACACAGATTTATGACATAGGCTAACTCTTGCTAAAGCTGGGGATCGAAATCATGGCCTCAGCTTGGCGACCGAGCCTTTATTAGATATCTAATTAGTGCTAATTACATCGTAAGAGCCTTGATTGTCGTCAATGGACCGCACGAAGAGGTCATTAATGCCAGTTTGTTAATAGATTATCTTTATGCTCACCATTCAATAATTAGTATTATGAAATAATTGATTAGTCATTTATGTGTTCTGCAACTCAATTTGTTCAAAACCATTCGTCGCAATTTCATAGTACGACTATCGCTAAAATAATTTCCGATAGTAAAATACAAAAAATCATGAATGACATCCAGACTGAAATTAGTCAATAACGGTCTCAAAGACGATAGGAACGACATAAATTCCGGATTGAATCTTAAATTTTCACATGATGTGTGACTGTATGTGTGTTTCGCGAGCAGGTGTCCGCGTCGGCGACCGAACACACGTAGAAGTTCGCTGACGCCGGGATAAGCGGAGGTGCTCTGCGGCAGACCTGTTCAGTAGCAGATTTGGTCCCGGACTTGTTTTCCAAAAGCGCCTGGGCGGGTAGCCCGGGACATCCGTCGGATGTGTCTTGAACATCCTTGCGGTGCATCATCACGTACTATGAAATTATTCCTCTGGCAGGTTACGACTCCACCCACGGACGAGGCAATACTAATTGCTTACGATTGATTTTAGGGATGGAGAAGTACGAAACAGCTTCTCGGCATAACAATTATTTACAACGATGGTTTGCTACTTTACTCTACTGACTTAGGTGAACTATTAAAGCATAGTCGAACGCTGAATTATTGGCGTGGCAAGAGCCCACGAGCTTGGTACACCCGTTCGTGTTTTGATAGGGCCACTCATGTGCTCATGCGTGAGCTATTTTAAGCGGGAAGAATTTCAGTTACGGGTCTTGGAGATTCGGTACGAACGGAGACCCCCGATGATGTTGACTTTATTAATCGGAGGCTGCGTACCGCCCTGGAATGCGGGTGTACCTTGTGTACGCGGTATATTGATTTCGTAGGCGAGGACGAAATAATTGGTTAGGTCTGTTAGGCTTATCAGGAAGTATAGTTTTTTTTAACGGGACCACTGTGATATGTTGTCTCCGCAAACTGCCTCAGACAATTTTAATAATGAAAAAATATCGTTGGAACCTAAAAGCACTATAAAAATCTTGCAAAGAAGAAAGAAGAAATTCGGCCACAGGCTCAAAAGTCCAGCATGTTGACCTTGATAAGGCCGAAAATAGAAATAGAACCGGATTCATTCATTAATGCCAAAAATCTTTTAACGATTATATGCAACATTAGTTTTATTATTTTATAGAAAATCTTGACGAGCGACCTGACTGTTCACATTTTATTAAGTTATTATCGCCGTTTTGGACGTTTTAGCACCATAGTTTTAGCACCATTTCGGTTTGAAGTGAATTGCCATCTTTAACAATAGTGTGCCCTGGTTACCTTACTCTTCAGACGAAACACAAAAAATACAATACTATTACTTCACGCTAATCTTCTGTGAGACTTAGGTACTTCCCGCAATTGACAGTCCATTCCCGCAGTGGAATTTGACGCGTGACTTGCAGTACTCTATTTTCGGGGGTTATATGTATGGATTACACCTGCAAGTCAATATGCGTCGTCATAGCGGGATAGGTGTAGAAAAAGGAGATCTCCCTGTGTGTATTACCCCTATCCGGGAAAATTATGAAGTGTAATCTGGATTATGAATAACGAATGCTATCCTATTTCGCTTCTCATTTCTGTATGGTGGCGTAATTGTGAAGCCATTGGCTTCGGCGCCGGAGGTCGTGGGTTCGATTTACACTCGGGACCAGTATTTGTGTGAGCCACAGATAACTGTTCCGGATCTGAATGTTTGTTTCCAAGGAAGGTTCGCGTCAGATAGGAGGTGGGGGTCGAATAAAATCTAGCCAATGCCATTAACAACATGGTTCACCTGTTGCACCGCCCCAACCTAAGGATTGCTGTACGAAACAAATTAGAAAAAGGGATAATAATTTTTCCTAATAAATATATAATAAATCCGTGTCATTAATATTGCGAATCCGACGTCCCAGCCACTAGGCCGCTAATAGTTTAAAATTAATATGAAGCTGTAAATAACTGTATGTAAAAATTTTAGCTCATTCGAAGTGGCTTAGTTACAAAATATTGAGACTTATTAATAATAACACATCGAGTCGACGAGATAAGGCGGGGTCAAAACAGAATGACACAATGATGCAACTCTGGGGGACAATCGTGCAACATTGTGACAACCATATATGATGCGTTATGATGCATTAGAAAACCTAAAAGATACCTAAGAAGTAGCATAGACTTTTTCTTCATTGAGTAATTGAAGGGTTCATTTAAAAAAATGAGCTTTGAACAGAGCATAGTACAATCGCACCCCCGTTGAAGTCTTTCCTTGCGCCCTAGCTGCGAGATTTTCATGAGTCACTTAAGTAAGGCACGCAAGAACAACCCACAATTCTTCTTCGACACAAAGATCGTTTGGGAAGATAAAACATGGTAAATTGTAACATCTAAACAAACAGATCCACCTTTAAAACTAACTTATTCATTTGAATTTTGTTTGGAGAGGTTATTATGCCATATGAATCTAGGAATTATAGCCGGACCGAAAATAAATTTAAATCCTGGTCCTAGCTTAAAACCTCCTTTGACTTAAGGATAAATATCGTCAGCGAAAAGATTACAAAGAGATAAATATTTGTGTGTACCACTCCTGAGTCACATATACATTTTTTTCGAGCCAAGAATAAACTCGATTATGACACCCCTATTTCCAGCGTTTGAGATAACACCTTTAATTCAATTTACTCGAGCAACCTGAGTTCGATCCCCGGTACCAGCACCAATGAAATTGTTAATTTTAAGTGCTGGCTTATCACGTGCTCGGCGGTGAAGGAAAACATCGCGAGGAAACCTGCATATTTTCGAAATAATGATAAAAAAAATATTTTGAAAAATATATGAAGTTCGCCAATGTACGCGCCACGCAGTGGGGCCGCGTGGTGGTGGCCCTGATACCCTCTGTACATTGGTGGCCTTCACCTAGCAGTGGGACATTTATAGGCTGTTACTTTACTTTTTTTTTACCTAACCACTTTCTTTGACATGAAATTATATATCCGGGAAAATATATATTATAATAAGATCTATGTGCATTTAAATGGTAGAATTGGATGATCCACATATTGTTTTATATCAACGTAGATCTATGTAGACAAACGTCTACGTGCAACTCGAACATCTACGTTCATCTAAGTAGATCTATGCACATTAACTCACCATTTTTTGGGTTCCGTAAACAAAGGGTAAAACGGGATCCTATTACTAAGATTCCGACGTCTGTCACCAGGCTATATCTTATGAACCGTAATAGTTAGATAGTTGAAATTTTCACAGATGATGTATTTCTGTTGCCGCTATAACAACAAATACAGAAACAAAAAATATTTAAGTGGGGCTCCCGTACAATAGATATGACTTTTTTTGCAGTTTTTATACATAATGGTACTGAACCCTTCTTGCGCTAGTCCGACTCGCACTTGGCCGGTTTCTTAGATTCATGTAGATCTACGCTATTTTTCCCGGGTGTAAGAAACATGTAACTAGGTAAGATGTTATAAAATCTCTTAATTTTATAACCGACTTCAAAAAGGAGGATGTGGATTATTAATTCGGATGTTTATACGTTATTTTTATGTATGCTCGGGCATAACTCCGTCTTACATAGATGGATTTGCAAAATTCTTTTTTTGTGCGAAAGGTTTTTGTTTCTGTAATGGTCCCATTTAAATTTCATATAGATCTGATAATGAGTTTGGAGATGGAAAACGGAACTTCCAAAAATGTCAGCAAATAAACCGCGATTATTGCAATCGCATACATATTCATTGTCACACAATATAACATCACGTCTGTACATTCGAAAAGTTTAAGCAATGTATTTACACAATTTATACGTTGTTTTCGCGTTCTCAGCTATAATATGTGCATTGTAAGAATCTACTTGTCTGTCAATTAATAGAAAAAATAATAAATAAATTCGGACTGAGTGCAGCTCCATCGGCAAAATCTCCTATCATCAGTATTCTTTGATGTTCGCAAAGCAATTCAATTTGAGCCGTTGTCAATTCGCCAGTGCGAATTAAACTAAGGCGATTATTGTAATTTCAAGTTAAAGAAAACGATCATTTACATTTTTATTATATGTGTAATATCTATCTGAGGTTATATAATTATCTGTGTATCTGTTAAATGTAGTTCTATGCCTGCATATGGCTTATACTAGTTTGAGTTGGGACAAGTGATGATTAGTAATCAATGTTTAGCGCAAGCGCACCAACGTGACTAGGGTAAGAACTACTGATTTTTCAATATCTGTTTTAAGCAAAACTTCTTTTGGCGCGAATAAGAGGTAACTGCATGATTTGGACGACGTCAATGCAACGGAATCGCGTTACGGCTATGACGAGTTTATATAGCATCCGTTTTCTAATTACTTACGCTGTATGTATGTATGAATTTTAACTTTACATTTGAGATGAAAAACTATTATTTATTATTTATTAATTAATACGTTAATATTAAATAAAATTATTTAAATTAAATAATTATTTTCGGTTTTTCTTTACTTTAACTTCAACCGAATATGAAGGTTACACGCATATTTGTTATTGAAAACTCAACCGTGAACAGTTTTCGGAATATCTCATCCCTCTGCCTCTCCCCTCACTGCAACCTGCAACTGAATAGGCATAGACTTCATGTCCTGGACGCGAATGGGTAATCGCGGCGCTCTTTTAGAAAGATGTAACAGTGGTCTACTTGGCAACGCTATAAGGATTCCAAAACTGAACACGTTTCAATAGGGTTAAAGTCTTTTTATAGTACACTACCCGCCCCGACTTCGCACGAGTATTTAACGAAAATTTTAAATTATTTTAAAAATAAAGAAAGAATATTTTTATGAATTTCTTCATCTTTAAAAGAAATACCCTTAAAATTACATCATGACGATCGAAAGACCGCTGACCAGATAATAGTTCCGTTTTAATTTAAGGGCAATTCGGGGCTACACTTATAAGTGACAAATAAGTCTGGTCTCCGTAGTTTCGGACATACATCATCGCATCTTGGGTTTTTTAATGCTGATGACGCGGAGAACCTGTGAATGAATATGGCGTTGAAGATTACGCGTGGACCGATATTTTAATGGGTCAACATTTGCGTCTTGATTTAAAGCGTCTCTAAGAGGAATGTTCCACCAGCCTTCAGTCCCTGGTGATTACGACATAATTAGGGCGAGCGAAGCGAGACCTAATACTATCCCGCGACCTGAGCATTTTTGTGGTACACTTTACTGAAAAACTATCGCCTATAGATTTGTGCTTTAACATAGTAATTTAACTTCATGTCTAGATGTGTTATCTGTCATAAAATTTAATATTTCATAACCATAAAAAACATGAACATTAACAATTTGGTATGGATAGAATGTTATTGTACTACTAACGCCAACTGTTAGAACACTGAAGAGTTAACATCGATGCAATAAAACTAA